CTAGATTTTTGGCCCGCGCATGCACATGCATGTTCATAATAGATCATTGATTTGTTATATGTAAATTAGGGTCTTTTAGATTAAGTTTGTTCAAAATTTTTATAAGAGATTTGGTCTCAACTAAATATGTAATCAAATTTCATGTGCAGTTGAATAGAATATAATTTGGTAATAAAAGTTCATGTGAAGTTAAATAAAATAAATTTGAATTCATACTTGTTTATATTGGCTCACTACCTTTTATGTATTATGAATAAAGTTTTTGTGTTTAATTTTTGTTACATTTTTTCGTGGTTCAATATCATTTTTTTTACTATTCAATAATTTCTATATTATATTTACAATTTTTCATATAAATTAGATTATTCTCTCTCTTTATACTGAATATAATTTAAAATTTGTTTTGATATTTCAATTCACACCTTTTTATTCTTTTGTTTAATACATTTGAGCAAAATAATTGGCATACCGAAGGCAAACCTCCTAGCCACATGAGAACCAACTCAATACATATGTGTATTGGATTATGAAAGTCGCAATCGCAAATATGTAATGCATCATCTTTATGTCTCTTTCACATGCACTTGCTTTCTAATCAATATTCGCATGGTTATTTTACAACATTATTGTTAAGTTGTTTTCATATTCTTTGAAATATATTTTAACTTGATTTTTGTATGATCTCCGCTGTCATTATGAAATCATAACATTTTTACATTAATCCTTAAAATACATGTATAGCCGCAAGAATGGAATTGTATATACATCCATAAGCAATGCCACATATTTACATTTTCTTATCATCAATCATATATAGTCGATTTGTTATTTGCATGCCAAATCTTTGTTTACATCATTGATTTGTAAGAAACATTTTTCTTTACAAATTTGTTAGAATAAAAGTTAATAAGGAGAGGACGAACGAAACCGCTTCTTCTTTCTCCTGACAATCACCGGCCGGCGCCGATTCCAGCCGCATCGGTCATGTTCTTCTTTTCATTTTTTGTTTGTAATTAGATTTCTGTTCTCAAATAAAACCAGATCTATGATTTTGAAATTTCAATTTCGAGATCTATTTCTCTTTCTCTCACTACGAGAGAATTGTTTTCCGACCATAATCCGGCAAGAGTCTAGGAATTTTTGTGTTGGCTTCAATCCACTCAGGATTTCTCTGATTGGTCTCTGTTGTTTTACCTTTGAAACGGTACAATTTCATCACCAAAGTGTTTGTGATTCTGATTTGAATCTATCCAAATTGAGAAGAGGTTTTCAAGAACGAATCTGGGATCCAGGTGTAAACTATTTGGATGTTGCAGATTGTTCGTTAAGAAGAAAATGGTTATGGCCAAATCAAGAAAGGAACACGAAGATTTGTCTCTTACTTCAATCGAATTTCAAAGAGACTGGATTTTTGGTTTTTTTCTCGATCTTCCGAAATCAACATGTTCTCCAAGTTAAACACAAAAAGCCCTTGCCAGTTTCATCAAATATTCTGATTTCAACGAGAAGACAAGGTTCATGTTCATCATCAACAACATCAAAACTACTTTTATTAGTCAATATAATGCTAAGTGCAATTTGGAGTTTCATCGCAATGATGATAGCCAACAAAGAGATTATGAAGGGGGGACATAACAGTTTTCATCTGTTAGCCTATAAGACTTTCGAAAGGAAAACTTGGTTAATCTTCACTCCTTCATCGAAATTATTTCAATTTCTCATATTTGTGTTAATGGTTGTATTGAGAATATTGTATCCTGTAAACTTCTTATGATATCAATATATTTGATTTGTCAACAAAAACAAAAAAAGTTAATAAAAGTTTTTCGAGAAATAGATTATATTATTTTGTTTTTTTTGTTTGTTATCTATTCATGTGTCCTCCAAAACTTTGTGATTGATTTTTTGATTACGTAGACTCTTATATAGCCTTGGAAGAATTCGTCTAGAAATATATCTAGAAATGGAGCAAACTGCAAAAATTTTAGATAACTATATATAATGAACCAAGTAATTAACTGTATACATTGAACCAAGTTAATTATATATAGTGGTTATTAGTTATCAAACTTTTTGGTTATTTTGGGTATTATGTGATCAATTTTTTACAAAAGTAAAACGTTTGGTATAAATGAAATTTTGTAATTAATCGTATTTTTTACATATACGTTTAGTTAATAGACAAAGTCAAAGTTCTAAGGTTAATTAGTATATGGTCTGGAATTTGTTGAAAGTTAGCAAGAGTAGTAGAGTACCAATGCATATTAATCAAGAGGAAAGTCTACATCGTTTACTAAACGGGACGTTTTTATGTAAGCGGGACGAATCTCATTTGCATCTTTACAATAAGTATATGCATGTGTCAGTCACTCACTGTAACAAAACCTAAGTTCCATGGAATTATAAGCGGATACGTGGAAGTGGAAAAATTTGGAAGCGGGGAAGCGAGTTTTTTTAAAAGATTCGAAAGCGGGTACGTATTGGAAACGC